TTCACCATAGAGCAGGATCTTAGGGAGGCGGTGCTCCTTCATCCTTGAGATGTGCCCTGCCCAGCGCAGCTGAATTCTCAACAACATGGCCTCAATGCTTGTGACTGCTGCTTGTTCTAGAACAGATGTATTGGTCACAAAATCTGACCAGTGGATGTTTAGAATTGTACGAAGGCAGCGTTGATGGAAGCGTTCTAGGAGTCGCAGGTGGTGGCGGTAGATGACCCATGATTTGGATCCATATAAGAGAGTAGACAGCACTATGGCTCTGTAAACATTGATCTTTGTACTTTTCTTTAAGTGTTTATTTCGCCAAACTCTTTTATGAAGCTTTCCGAAGGCACTCTATGCATTTGCTAACCTGTTGTCTATCTCTCCATCAATCTTACTATCCGAGGAGATGAGGCTACCCAGGTAATTAAACTGCTGGACTGATTTGAGTGGAGAAGCATCAGCTCTCTCGTATTATAACCAGCTTTCTGTGAACACTTGTAGATGTTTTTCATTCTTGTTTTTGTTCCTGTTTTCATTCATATTTTGGTGGAAAAGGTAAAGGGTTTTGACTTAACTTGGAGCAAGAACAAGAAAATAATGACATTTGAGAAACAAGGCAAAATTGATGCTTCATTAGTTATGATAAGGTTTGGCAATTTTTACAAGTATATGTCAACAAGTAGGATGTTTGAGGGGGAGTGTGTTTAAAATGGTACTGCTAAAGTAGTCCTTTAGATTTAGAAAAGATATCAAAGCCTCAGCTTTGTAATCAGTGCTTCTTAAAGTGTATGTACAGTATGTCTTGATCTCTGAACTCTTGAAAGAGCTCTTTTCACAGTGTTTTTGTAGTTCATGTTCTATTTTTTTCTTAAAATGCCTTTTTTTTTTTTAATAACTATAGTTCTTGAAAAGTAGAGCTAAAGGTAGAAGAGGAACGCTGCTCAGTGCACCTTGCTCACTAGCCCTGTCACATAAAGCAGGAAACATTCGTGATAACTTTATTTCTGTGGTAGAATGGAGGGCCAAAAGTTACTCTAGACAGGGAGACAAGTAATGCTGACATCTTGCAGCCCAGAAAAGCGAAATTCCATGGAGGAAATGTACCGTGGTGTGGCAAAGTGAGGGGAGGTCAGTTGGGGGGGAACTTCTAAATCTCTGTCTGCAGAATTGTCATCTCCACGGATTCTTGACTGTTGCATATGAAGCATCTTGCATCTTAAAACTGTTATTTTAGGCTCTGCACATGATCAGGTAGGCTTCAGTGCTTCTGCTTATATGATCAGGTAGGCTTCAGTGCTTCTGCTTATATTTGGATAATCTTTTTTCAAAGCTGAATTCATCAGCAGTAAGAACTAAACTGCCGCCTTATTTTTTTTCAAGAAAAACTTTAAAAAAATCCCCACAAAACAACAGACAAAAATCCACAGAAAAACACAAACAAAACAACCAAACAAAACCTCCATATCAGTTTTAATTCATCCAGGGTGTGTTATTGAGGCCACAGGCATTCATTGCAGTTTAATGTTTGAATACTTATTTTTCTTCTGATAGGAGAAAATTTGTTAAAAATGAGAAAATAGAGAAGCACAAAGATAAGATAACTTCCAAAGAGTTTGTGTGGGTCATTGACAGAAGAAAGAGTAAAATGCAACATTCCTGAATCATCTTTGGTACTTCACCCTCTAAACCACTGTTACTTGTGAGGTACTTTATAGTACATATTGTTCTTTGGGTGCCTCTTGGTACCTTGCTACAGCCAAGAAGCAAAACTTTGACATCATGTTGCTGCTTTTCAGTGGATTGGAGGCTGTGTGGGCCTGTATGATTAACCTGTGCCATCCGGTTAGGAATTATCTGTGTCAGTAAAATTCCCTCTCTGGCTACTTTTCTGAATGAGGCAAATGCATTCTGTGCTGTGAAGTAGCAGGATTCTGGAGGGCTTGACTGCAGCAGTTAGCTTTTGATATTAAAATATAGCTGATATGAAGAGGAAGCTTAGTCTAAAATCTGAATTAGTGGGTAAAATTTGCCTATATTAAAATTAGTTTTGCAGAAGAAATAAACTTTTCTTCTATATTTCTTTTTATTGTGGACTTAAATTTCTTTATTGGTTTATTAAAGATCCTGCCTGTGTTTTAAAGTTGGAGATTTCTAGCTGTTCAAATCAAATGTTATGTTAAAACTTCCTCTTGATGGTGAAAATCCTTGAGGCAGTAGGTGACCTTTTCCTTTTTTTTTTTTTTTTGTTAAGAATTGATCCCTTAAACACTTTTTTCCTAAGCACTAACTTTGTTTTTACAAAAGCATGTCATAACCTACATTTAATTTTTTTTAAATACTAAAATAAATGTGTTTAAAAGTTTTCTTTTAAACTTTCTATTGACTTTTGCAGAGATCACGCAAATGGAAAATTTCTTGTGTAGATACTCAATGCAGTTAATGATATAATAGATTTGTGTTTTATGTAGCTGCTCCAAATGCTGAAACTGGGAATTTTTGTTCATGTTTTACTGTTACATCTGGCATGAACAGTGCCTGTTGACTGCCTTGGCTGTACAACTGGTTTTGAACAAAAATAGTGGATTTAATTTTGAAATTGCTTGGCTACACACAGCAGGTTTTGTAATAGCTTAGTATGTCTAACACGCACTTACATTATTCATTGCTGAATAACTAGTGCCGATAACTTACATTATAATTGCATGTTTTTTATTCTTACATGCACATAACTTTCCATTACACATTGCTCTCTCTATGTGACTTTGAGGTGCTACTTTTGTAGGCTGAGCTGTTGATGTCTTGAACCTGAAGAGGTGAAAAATTCTGGTTTTGTTCTCTTGTATATATGCTAAATTATAACTGCTCAGGGTGAAACTTATCATTCCATGGATTTACATCAGACTTTTTTTTCCCCACGGAAATCTTACCTTTAAGGAATTGACATCCCTGGAAGTTTGCTTGTGGGGCTGGTCTACAAGTCCGAGCACGTCTACCCTTTGTCATGGTAACAGTAGGAGCCAGATGATGACTTCTCTTCTCCCTTGGGTCTTGCTAGCTTGCTTTTAGTGGTAATCTGAAGAAGGGCATCATGTGATACCAGCTGGTAAATTATCTGTAATGCAGCCAAAGCACTGGTGTCTGGAAATTCAGAAAAACCAGCAATGCAAAGTTGTCCACTTAAGGGCAGCTACTCAGGCCCATTTCTCACCTCAGCTTCACTGCATATCTGTGAATATTCAGTTTTCTTGTCTGTCTCCTTTTCCCTTTTAGGATGTCTAGGGTGAGAGTTCTCTGGCTCAGAAATGTGCTTTGTGGTATACATCGAGTAACTTCTGTAATAAATATTCATAGAAATGTCGATACTGAATTAATAATTAATTTTTTAAATTTTTCTTTCTTGCCCTCTTTTCTAAAACATTATCAGTTTATTTCCCTTTCAGTGGTTCATTTAACTTGACTGTTTTGTATGAAACTTTTCCACTAAGTCCATAGAATCATCTTGAGTTATAAACATCACTCTGTTTCATTTGCATCATTGCTTATAAAGGAGAGAAAACAGGTCAAGTTATGCCCTGAAAGAATATCTCCTCATTTATTTAGGATTTTTCAAATACTGTTAAAAGCATAATAGAAATGTAGGAGTAAGAGAATGGATGGCAAACTGTACATGACAGTTTAGTTTAGGGAACTGCTCCTATTAAGATGAGCGGCCCTGCTTTTGACTCTCTTTCCCTACTAGCACTTAATGCTTTTGTAGCTTGTTATTACAGAAGGTTTTGGATTGGCTCAGAAAAAGGAAAATTATCCTTGGATTTGGAAATGGGGAATCTGCAATTATTACAAAGATGAGAGTTCTGTAGTCATTGGTGTTACTTAATTTCTACTTTAAATATAACCCTGTTGGTATACTCTCACCTTTACCTGTTACAGCCTGAAACGTGGTTGAAAAAGGATAAAGAAATGGACTAGGTGAATTATAGTACTACAAGTGTGCTACAATTGCGGCAAACACCAATATTAGGCCTGCTGTCATGACCATAAAACCAGTATTGTCATTTTACTCTGTGGTGTTAAGATTAAATGTATTTTTCAGTTAAGTCACATCGAAGAGCCTAAAACACTGTTGTGTGGAGGACCGGTCAAGCATGGAGTGTGTGCAAGTTTCATGTATTGAAGTGCTTATGACCTGAAGCAGTGGTCCCTCAGCTGTTGCTTGTGATGACTTGGGATGCTTGGGAAAATTGTTAGGCAGTTTTCTATGCAAGAAAAAAAATCTAAGAGTGAGAAATGTTATTTTCTAAATAAAGGGATTTATCCAGGTTTTTGTAGCTTAAGCCACTTTTGGTAATGGTTGCTGTATTTGAGGAATTTATTTCTTTATCATGCCTTTACTGTTAATTTTTTTTCAGGCCACACTCAGAATGATTCTTCTTACTTAGTGGCTTAGTTTTTTTCAATCCCACTTTTGCTTTCAGTGCCCTAATACCTTTAAATATTTAATATACAAGAAATATTCTATCTTCTAGAATAAATGGCCTGAAGGGAAAAGGAATTTCTGAAACTATCCTACTTGAATCTACAAGAAGAAAATCCGGTGTGCAACCAAGCTGTTTATCTGATTACATACCACCGAAGTGCACTCCGCTGAGCCCTGCTTCTGCACAGGCCACTGTAGTGATCTGACAGGGATTTCTGGAGCTGATATGTAATTCCAAGTCATGCTCACTTTGAAACAACAAATAAAAACCCAGCCCAGATCTTCACATTACTGGAGAGTAGAAATGATTTCATGGTTAATAGAATGGTTTGGTATTTAGAAAATTTACGGGAAAATACAGAATTTTTTTCTTGAAGGGCTCAGGGGAGAAGCTCATTTAGGCTGACATGGTGGGGGAAGAACCATGGCAGAGCAAAATGTTCTGCAGATTGCTAAAAATGTGTGGATATTTCTGTTAATTTTTAATACACATTTGTGTGAGAACTTGTTTCTTTTCTTTTTTATGCAGGTCAACTTTGTAGTGTGCCAACTGTTTGCCTTGCTTGCGGCTATTTGGTTTCGAACATACCTTCATTCAAGCAAAACTAGCCCATTTATAAGACATGTTGTTGCAACCCTCTTGGGCCTTTATCTTGCACTTTTTTGTTTTGGATGGTAAGTTGCACTTAAATTCAAAACTTGTAGAATTTTGTTTCTGTGTTTCAAAGGACCTTATTATCTAATTCTGTGGTTTTTTAGCTGCTGCAAATGTACAGAAGTTAACTCAAATTTTCTGATGAGGTGCACAAATTCTGAAAGATCTTCATTTGCAAATTGGTAACTACCATACTGTCTGCCTGTGGTTTTGGGCGAATGAAGCAGGTAGCAGGTGCAGTTTGTTTAACTTGTGCTGCTTTTTCCTGTAAACTTGCTGGAGAAGTATTGTCTTGAGGCATAGCACTGGTGTGATGACTAAGATAATTTCCCATAAATACTCAGCACATGAGAACTTGCTGTGTCTTTTTCTGAATATTGAATATAATCAGACTTCTTGTAGGAAGAGTGGCCAGAACCATGGTACTGATGATACTCCTAGTAGTATAAAACACCTGGAAATGAGCTGGCCTCAATTTCTGTGTGTTTTCTGCCTTTTTTTTTTTCTTTAATGTTTTGGAGGAAAGATGTGGTTCTCTTTCAAACACAGGTTTTGTGTGTCTGCTGTTTGCATATCTTGATCTTTTCAGTATTATAAACCAGAATGTTAGTAGAGCTAGAAAAGGGTATCAGTTTAGTTTTGTGATTATTTTTTCCTTCAAAAATAGCTTACTAAGTGGCTTGCATTTTCCCAAGATAGTTTAAGATTAATTAAGTGCCAGTTTCCTTTTATTGCATTGTAAACAAAGTGCTTACTTGGCTTTAAGTGTATAGAAGACTCATTTATGTTGGCTATTATAGAGTGTTACTGAACTACGGGGAATTAATCAAGCTGTTGTGCAGGTGGGAAGATGCACGTACTCTGCACATACAGAGTGTTGGCCTCTATATTGGCATGTTGCAGAGACCTCTTAACATTAGTTGATATGTATTACTTTTAATTTCAGGAAAAGAAATCAGTAACCTTTATTCTTTAGATTTACACGTGCAATTTCCTTTTATATAAAATTTTACAACTCCCATCCATTTCTTAAACATTTGGCCGTGGTATTCTGCTTTGAGAGAGCGATCTGATGTCAAAGACTTCCAGTATTAGCACCAAATGAGGAGGATGATATGGGAGATAGGTGCTATCATATGTGGGTTTTTTTGAGAGGTGTATAAGCTTTAGAAGCACTTTATGTAACCATTGCTTTAGAAGCAGAAATCATTAATTGTAACTTGTAATTAGAAAGTGTTATCAATATATTTGTATGTGAAATTCGGGTATGGGAGATTTTGGAAAGAAACAACCTCCACTCCCAACAGACATAAATAAATTTTTGTGGAAGCCTCTCATTGGCAATATGCCCTGGAAAAGAAATAAGAGATACATTTTATGCCATAGTAGAAATCCAGATTATTCTAGTTTGGTTTGGATCATACTTTAAGCTATTACTTTAGCAATGAATTTCTATTTTGCAATCATGAAGCTAAAAGCTTTTTAAAAACCTTGAAAAGAAAGAACATAATTCGAGATGTTAAAAGTATACATTCTTTAAAAAACTGGTATCTGTGTTGTGCTATGTGCTTTTTCCTATTATTTAAGTACATATTGTATGAGCAGGTTTTTTGAGGGTTTTGTTTTGTTTGGTTCCCCTCCCCAAGGAATCAAGTTTACATACAGGTTACAAGCCTGTGCTATACCTTCAGTGACACTTTGATTGTGCCATGATGTGTGTTATAACACATATGTAACAAAAAAGAAACCGTTACTAGGAACACTATATAAGAAAACAGTAACTGTAGATTTGCAGATAAGATCATGCAAGCCTAAATGTGGGAAATAGTTTGGAATCTGCACCCTTTTAAGGATATTTATTAGTAGCTATATTGTCATCTTCAGTTTCAAGTGTGTTAGTTTTCAGTTGCCTTTGTAGTACTTGTGATGGGGGTGTAGGAGAGGAAGAGAAGGAATAATTCCCTTGGCATAATAGCAAATAGCATAAAGGAACCAGAATACCCTTTGTATATGTTTAAAATTTACTGCTACATGTGGTGTTTCAATATATCCCCTTTAATGTTTGAATCAAAGATCAATCATATTGCTATTGTTAACAACTCTGAAAGAGAAATGTTTTCAGCGACTGCAATCCTGATATGATACTCCATGTCAATCCACACTTGTAGGCTTTGATATCTTATTCTCCTTTCTTTGTATAAGAAGCAAATTCTTAAACTTATATTTTTGTCATTTTACTAATGCCTGTCTTTGCTACACAGTATTGCTAATATGTGGCTGATAAGAAAAGAAGGTGAATACTTTTTGAATTGGCAATTGCTATACTAAATGTGTAGTTGAATTTTGGGTAGTCCTTTCTTAGATGAGACTAGCTACTGGTGAAGCATGGGAGCATGTGCAGATTGGACCTTCCATAAAAAGTAAAGATTTTCAAGGTCAATTTGTGTCCAAGTGACTGGTTTTCCCTCAGTTCATCATGTGTACACTCTGTAGGATTTTAGTTGGATAGAACTGGGTTTCTTGTTGAAAGTCTTTGAAGTCATTTCGTTGTGAGTAGAGGAGGAGTTAAATTAGGAAATAGCTAGTGATAAGCTGAAAGAAAACAGTATCACTGTAACAAAATGACAGCTTTTTATGGGGAAAAAATTCCAGAATTAGATCAATGCGTCACTTGAGCACATGTGAGTGTGCTACCGAGGCAGTTTTAGTACAAGAGTGAAAAAGAACCACTGGCACTGCTTTGCTACCAGTGCTCTACAGCTTACTGAAGTATAACTCCTTGGAAAAACAAAACAAACCCCCAAAGCAATGGGGTTGTGATAGCTGTGGAAAAGAAATAAGAAGAGATTAGAGCACCTTCATGAAAAAATCTGTGGGTTGTTACTGTGTAGGGTTTTTTTGTTTGTGTTTTTGAGACTGTCATCACCGGTATGCCTTTATTAGTTATTGACAACCCAGGACAAAGAGACGGCTGGACATGGTCACCATTTCTGTTGACTGGGAAATCTTACCATATGCTGATATTGTGGCCACTAAGACATTGTTGGCCTTATCTGAGCCTATTGTTGTTAATGGGTAAAAAGATGCATATGGAAATTAAACCAGAAAACTTTCATGTTATTTACACAGGAAATAATGCCAAGTGGAAGTATTATGACACATATTCTCTGTATTTTAAGGATTATCAATGTTAACTATATGCTTGTTTATGAGCTGAAGCATTCTAGCTAAGTCTGTAGGTTTTGTTCATTGCTGCTGTCTGTGCTATGCTAAAGGGAGATTAAACTTTGAACCTCTTTAATTTCACATTAAATAAATGCATGCAGTTTATTGCCTTTAAAAAAAACGCTGTAAGGGTGCTTGTTTTTTTCCCCTAGGTATGCCTTACATTTTGTTATACAAAGTGGAATTTCCTACTATATCATGATCGTAATAGGAGTGGAAAATATGCACAAGTAAGTTTCCATTCTAAAATTTATTTTTTTTTTTACTTTTACAAGAATGCTACTGCTTAAGAGTTCCTTGGTAATGGTGCACATGTGCCATACTCCTAGTTGTATCATAACATTACAGTATTTGAATTCTACTAACCATGGTTTTATTTCCAGGGGAGAAGATGGCTTATTTGGGAATTTTTGCCAGCTTTTTGGAATATCTAAAGCTTGTTACAGATATTAATAACCCACTGAGACTTCTTTTGGCTTCTACACATTCCAATTTTTTTGTCGTTACTTAAACCTAAATGTTTTCAGGTGTCTCACAAACAAGTTAACTATACATATGTAATTTGATAACAGCCAATGATAGTAGAAGGAAGATATCTGAAGAGAAGAGAATGTATGTGAGAAATTTTGGTACTAATTGTTTGTCTTTTCTTCTTTTTTCTTTTTTTTTTTTAATAACACAGTGTGAATGCTGTCTTAAGGAAAGAATATGCTTGTAAAATACATAGGGCATTATATTAAGTTTGCTTGAACACATAGTTAGATTAGCAGAATGTGAATGCATATAGAATAACACTTTGTGCTAGTTTAAAGGTAAACCGGCAGGGGAAATGAACCCAACTCAAAAGAGAGATTATAAGTCAGAATAACAATTTAATAAAATAATACAATAAGTACGATTATACGGACAAACAATTGGTTTTAAGCCACAAAACCCAAATGTATAACCCAGCACCCTGGGGCATGAACAGAGTGGTGTTCGTTGGGCCCCCTGAGTCCAAAGTAAAAGGAGAGGGGAAAACCTGTTGGTGAGGATGCTGTTGCAGTCTGATCAAGAGTGGTGATTGCAGTCCAGTCGAGAGTGGTGGTCTGCAGTCTGGTTGAGAGTGGTGATCTGCAGTCTTCCTCTGGATCCAACGAGTGGTTAAAAAAGTTCCAAGACTCCAAGATTATATATTCTCCAGTTCAGGCAGGAATGCCCAGTACTTCCCTCAGTGAGGAGTTCCACAATGGGTGTGAGGACAGGGGGCACCCTCCTATCTCTCAGGCCTCTTAACACCCATTTTATAGCCTGAGGAGTCAGGCTGCTCTGGGCAGAGGGTGTAAATAGTCTATTGATAACAACTTCTGGGAAATGGCATGGAAGGCTATAGAATACACAGTTTTGGGTTACGCCCATCCAGTGATGAACTGGTCCCAGCTGTTCTAACTAGGACACACTTGTTTCTCTTTTAAAATCATTCTTAAAAGAAGGAAAGACATTTATTTTATTACTGTATGCATATGTTTTACTATTCCACTAGCCTAGAGATCAGAACTAAATTAGGTTCCCACTGTGTTAATTCCTGCATAAATGTTTAGTAAAATAGCAAATTCTTGCTTGAATAGATTCCTGAAGTATGTGAGGTAGTTAGGAAAGACTCTGGTAAAAGAAATAAAGAGGAAAATTGCTTTACACAGAAAGCACAAAGCCAGGGTGGCCTTAGTTCAGATCCTACCTATTAGAGCACTCTGCTGCTTTATACTGTGATTCTGAATAAAATTATATTGTCTTCTGAAATATCCCATATTAGGCTCTTATCTTCAGGATTTTCAAAGCCTGACATGTTTGAACTACTGCAGATGTGAGAGAACCTCACTTGGTTGGACAGCCGGTTTCTATACAAATTGTTTATTTGATTAGGGGTGTTTATAAAGCAACTTGTTCAGGTCAGTTTCTCTTTAGACATTCAGCAAGGTGAGCTATAACTTAGATAACTTAATATTTTAAAAGACGTTATTAATATGGTTAAATGCAGAATAGGGAGGTACCAGTCAGGAACACTTTGGTTTTTATCATAACAAGTTACATAGGTTTCTCATAAAAATAAATCCAGTGGTTTACATTCCTCATGGTGAGAGGCAGGTAGGCATGTGTGTATTTAACACTGCTGCGTTGGAGCAAGGGAACTCTAATTCCCGATGCTCCTAATTCACACCAGTTGATTTAACTGCATGGCCTGATCTGCTGAAATGTTTACTGTGTTATACACAACTGTTACTCTGCAGCTGAGAGGGGGAAAACCTAGATTTGACTACCCGGCTTTTGTTGCTGTATCACCGTATGAATTAATGTACCATTGTATAAAACTAAAAAACTCTTCTTTCAGTGGAGGAAAAAAAATGTAACAAAGTCATTTGTTACTTCAAGTTGTGGACAGTGTTTGCACACTGTATGGGAAGCTCCAGGAGCCATTTCTAGTAGGTGATACAGGCAAAACTACAAGGTTTGCTTCTTCCATTGCCAGAGCATCCCAGAAGGGATAATGCCTGTACCTTTTACTAAAGGAAAGCACTACATACTCTTAATTTTCTGTTATGAAAATGCCCCTTACAGCTTTCTGTTTGGCAATCTGAACAGAAACTAATGTGAATAACTCCTGTCCCCACCTAAGTGTTTGTCTTCAGGCTATGAATGTGTCTCATGGAGGCCAGAGGAGGTGGAAGGTTAAGTGCTGTATAGTAGAGTGCAGCTGCTGTCGCCTGGCCTCAGGAGAAGGACACTGTCAATGTTTTAGTGGGAGATGTGTGTATACATACAGCTAATTGTTGCACATGAATGTACCTGCATAACCCAAGGTTTGGGACTTTCTGTACTGTAGAGGGGCCCATTGGCTGGCAGTCCTAGTTAGAGGTTACCTGTCTTGTTCATGAGCAACTTAACCTTAGAGTCTATAGAACATCAAGTACCTATATGTGGTGTAAATATGAATTCAAGTGACTTTTGTACTGGAAGAGCACTTGTATATTGTACAAAATATTATTGTCTATTATCTAAATTCATTCACTGAACTAAGTTTCCCTCTACTTTTCCCTGCCCTGCTTGCTGTCCCGCAGATTTCATGAGGGTATGAATGGGAAAGTCACTATTCCTCTCCTTTTTCCTGCTTTCCCTACCCTCTAATATAGCTCCTCAGTCTCTTCAGCCTCTCTAAAAATTGCTTAAACAAATAAGGGACAACTAAATTTTAGACTGCTATCAGTTCAGTTGCTGTGTGCTGGCTTTCCTTACCCTCCAAAGCAAGGAGATTTTTTATAAACTTCCACATTCTCCAAAGCACTTTCATGTTTGATACTGTTACTCCTCTAAACCTTTGTTTCTTTCTTAATGTACTTCCACTGGATTCTAAAAATGTCTCTACTATGAAGTTCCTACCTTTGTGGTTTTCCTGAGGGAACCGGCTCTTGTGCAGGTCTTGCATCTAGGTTGGTCTTGACATACATGTTGAAGATGAAAGCCTTAATTGAACAATAGTATAGGGAGGGGAAAAATAAAAGGTAAAAACTGAGTTGTGTGATGTGAAGAACATATTAAAAAGGAAGGAAACTTTATATTTTAAATTTTAACAACTTTTAGAATTAAGTTAATTAGCAAAAAGTGAGTTATCTGAGACTTGGATGTAACTAAAATTGATCCATTATTTTTATACTTAAGTCTTATTTAAATCATAGTACTTTGAATGAAAGGTGGAGTGACCACACTAGTTTGCCTGAATGGTTCAAAAGCTTTTGTCTTTTAATGTGGGTCTAAGCTATCTTAATATTTGTTTGGTGCTCTCATGGCTCACTTAATTGTGAAACTGAAAAATATATTTAAAAAAAGTTCTCAATTCCAATGAATTTGCACTTGATAACTGATGTAGTACTAATATTTATCTTTTTCTTAGAAATTCTTCTGTTTCTTCTATGATTATGAAATTGCTGTTTGTCTTAAAAGACAAAACCACAAATGCTACAAGGTTCTTTTTCCTTAAACCTTTGGCTACTGTTAGCTAAGACCTATGGGAGCAGTGCTTGTGCAGGTGATCCGATGACAAGGTTTTAAGGTTTCTACTTGCTATTCATGTCTGATACCTTCTGTGTTATGCTTAAAGTTGCAGGATGATACTTGTTCATGAAGTCTAGAGTTGAACTGCTAAGACTTAAGTGAATTTTTTTTTCTAATGCGAGAAATAACCTCTGTTTTGTGGCATATACAAGTTGCGAAAAGCAAATTAATGAAGAACCCAGAAACCCAAGATAATGAATAGCAGTAAATACGTAATGAGCTGACATGTGTGTACCACAAAGGGCCACAAAGATGATGAGCATGGAGCATCTCTCCTGTGAGGAAAGACTGAGAGAATGGAGACTGTTCAGCCTGGAGAAAAGGGGGATCTTAGCAACATATTTGAATACCTGGAGAGAGGAAGCCAGGCTCTCAGTGGTGCCCGGTTACAGGACCAGAGGCAACAGGCACAAACTGAAACACAATGCTGCCTGAACATCAGGAAACACTTGTTTACTGAGAAAGGTTGTAGTATCCCTGCTTAGAGATATTCAAAAGCTGCCTGGGCATAGTCCTGGGTAGCTGGCACTGGCTGGCCCTGCTTGAGCAGAGAAGTTGGACCTGATGACCTCCAGAGGTCCCTGCCAACCTCAACTGTTCTGTGGTTCTATTTTGGTTTGATAGATGTACAATTCTTTGTACTGTACCTATGCCCATGTATGTGAGCTGTTTGAACATGGTAATGTAAATAGATATTTGAATTTGAATAAGCAAACCAAACTTCTGTTTTAACTGATCTGATCTCTGTGGAGATACTTTCCTTGGGATTTGGCAGTGTTAGTCTTCAGTAAGTTCCCTTAGCCTCCTAGCCAGACCCAGGACTGAACAATGCCTTGCTCCCCTTTGCCTTCATTCCTTATTGCTGCATTGACAAACAATGGGAGATTTGGCAAAGGAGGTGTGGAAGAGGTTTGATGATTTTTGTCTTAGAAATCTCAGATTAAAGTCTCGATCATCTGAGTGAACTAATTCACTTGGCGTGTTAATTGTGACACTTAATTTGTCAGTCATGTCTTTAATAATGCTGAATGTCATGATTTTTCTGATGCTTACCTAGAGATCAGACTTTAGTATTCTGAAGATCGTGAATGGAAGCACTGACTAGCACCATGCAGTGTTTCTCTGTATGCTGGAGATTTGATCA